TGACAAAGAAGCTAGAGAGCAGGAGGTCTTGGACAGGTTGAGTGATATTATATGATGAGGCTGGTGATGTAGCTCAGGGCAGAGAAGTGGATGGCTATGTGTTATTGAGATTTTAAATTTTTTTTTCATTGGGCGAGCAGAAGTCAGTGGAGAGATTGGCAGAGAGGGGTGGCAGTCACTGAGTGGTTGGTAAGGTAAGTCTGGCAGCCGCATTTATGGTAGACTAAAGAGGGGATAGCCGGCCACCAAGCAGGGAGTTGCAATAGTTGATGCAAGAGATAACGAGTGAATTAGTAGCTTGGTGGTGTTTTAGGGAAAGGGCAAATATTAGAAATGTTGCGGGTTTGAAGGTAGGATTTAGACAGTGTTTGGATGTGGTGCCAAAAGGAGAGACCAGGGTCCAGGATTAGACCAACTACCCTGGCATGAGCAGCAGAACTGATAGCTGTGCTGTTGATCTCAAAGTCGAAAAAGTGGGCATGGGACAGAGGTGGGAAATATTATCTCAGTTTTGGAAAGATTGGGTTTGAGGACGTGGTGTGACACCTGTATTCATACAGTATATCAGTTATTAGATTAGTGATGTGCGAGGAGACTGACGCCTTGGGCAGAGGAGTAGCGAGCTTTGGGTGTCATTGGCATAGAGCTGGTATTGGAGGCCCTGGGAAATTGTCAGCTGTCCAAGGGAGGAGGCATAGATGGAGAATAGAAGGGGTCTAAGAAGAGAGTCTTTGGGGACCCTTATGGAAAGAGGAAGTGAGAAGGAGGAGGAGGTAGAGTTAAAGGTGACACTGAAGGTGCCCTTAGATAGGTAGAGAGAAAACCAGGAGACTGCAGAGTGTCAGATGCCAAGGGAGTAGAGTTTTTTGAGAAGGAGCGGTTGGTCAACTGAATCAGTGGCGCCAAACAAGTTTCATATTAAAATCCTTTCCAACCTGTTCTTAAATTTGCAATGTTTAGAATATTTTACGCCTTAATTGTGCAAATAAAAAGATATTCAACCACCACCATTTCCAGGTGTCCGGGATTCCTGAGAATTCGGTAGACATAGGATTGCACCACGCTCCAGTCTTTTATGATTTTAACCTGATCTACTGATAAAACTGTACAAGTTCCAGCACTGATATTTATGAGGATATGTCTCGTACTCATAGAGCCTTTATGCTTTTTTCTCTTTTGTTTCCTCGGTAATATCTCGGGCTTTGATCTGGTTGTCCGGGAGGCATTCATAGTCCTGTTTTGTGATGATTCACAACATGAATCATCTAAGATTTGCAGTCAGAACAAACACTCAATGTTTGGTGTTCATCTGAGAATTCTACTTCCATCACGATACGACGCCTATGCCGAGCCGAGGGACCGCTACCTCAGTGTGGTGGTTAAATAACTTCTTAAGTTTTTCATGTTCTTTAGGAGATGTGAATAAATATTGTGTTCCTTTTATCATGTTTTTAGGAATCATGTTCTTTAGGAATAAATATTGTGTTCCCGGGTTTTATCATGTTCTTTAGTTCCCGGTTTTATCATGTTGTTTAGGATCATAGGAATAAATATTGTGTTCTTCGGGTTTTATCACGTTCTTTAGGAATAAATATTGTGTTCCCGGGTTTTATCACGTTCTTTAGGAATAAATATTGTGTTCCCGGTTTTATCATGTTCTTTAGGAATAAATATTGTGTTCCCGGGTTTTATCATGTTGTTTAGGAATAAATATTGAGTTCTCGGGTTTTATCATGTTTGTTTCCCGGAATAGGAATTATTGTGTTCACGGGTTTTATCATGTTCTTTAGGAATAAATATTGTGTTCCCGGGTTTTATCCCGCAATAAATATTGTGTTCCCGGTTTTATCATGTTGTTATAGGAATAAATATTGAGTTCTCGGGTTTTATCATGTTCTTTAGGAATAAATTATTGTGTTATCATGTTCTTTAGGAATAAATATTGTGTTCCCGGGTTTTTATCATGTTCTTTAGGAATAAATATTGTGTTCCCGGGTTTTATCATGTGGTTTAGGAATAAATATTGTGTTCCCGGGTTTTATCATGTTTCTTTAGGAATAAATATTGTGTTTCTCGGGTTTTATCATGTTCTTTAGGAATAATTATTGTGTTCTCAGGTTTTCTCATGTTCTTTAGGAATAAATATGGTGTTCCCGGGTTTTATCATGTTGTTTAGGAATAAATATTGTGTTCCCGGGTTTTATCATGTTTCTTTTATCATGTGTGTCTTCTGTTGACTCTTTAAGTACTGGGATACTACTTCCATTATTAGAGGATACCTCCAGCCAAGCCTGTAATCCAAAATGCTCGGTATCTGCAGCATACCAGTGTGGAGATACAATCATCGGCCACTTTGTTAGGTGCACCTTGGTAGTACCTGGTTGGACCCCCTTTTGCCCTCAGATCTGCCTGATTTCTTCATGGCATAGATTCGACAAAGTGTTGTAAACATTCCTTAGAGAGTTTGGTCATATTGAGTTACTGTTGCCTTTCTATCATCTCGAACCAGTCTGCCCATTCTCCTCTGACCTGAAGGCATTTTCCTCCATACAACTGCCACTCACTGGATATATTCTCTTTTTCAGACCATTCTCTGTGCACCTTAGAGATGGTTGTGCGTGAAAATGCCAGTAGATCAGCAGTTTTTTTGAAATACTCAGACCAGCCCGTCTGGCACCAACAAACATGCCACGTTCAAAGTCACTTAAATCCCTTTCTTCCCCCATTCTGATGCTCGGTTTGAACTTTAGCAAGTCGTCTTTACCATGTCTACAATCCCAAATGCATTAAGTTGCTGCAATGTGATTGGCTGATTAGCAGTTTGTGTTCTCAAACAAATGAACAGGTGTACCTAATAAAGTGGGCGGTGAGTGTATATAGTTTGAACAATTATTCACCACCATACAATGCAATGTTTCATGGCCAATAACCCCTTCACACCTAAGGGTAAAAACAAATCTTAATGCCTAAGCACAATTTTACAACGTTGACATGTGTTCGTAAAACCGTCCATATCATCGCAACTATTTCGTACATCCAGGTGGATTATACCATGTTTTTTTTCAGGATAAATTGGGCTTTCATTTAGTGGCAAACGGTAATGGATATCTCCTGATTTTTTTCTTTTTATTATCAAAGGAAAACTGGCCCAAAATAGTAAAAAAAATATTTTTTTCTAAATTTAGCTGTGTTTCTTGGTACTACCATAACCTACCACCAAAGAACCCAAAATAAATTTTCCAGTTCTTGACGATCGCAGCGATACCATATATGTGCATGTTATTTGTTTTTTGTACCCGTAGTACAGCCCAGTTTTTTTTTTTTTTTTTTTTTTTTTTTTTTTTACCTAAAACACACTGACACCGATACCAATTAAAAAAAAAAAAAATCCTGACCTTTTGACCCTGACCTTGACCCACACACTTACCCTGGCACTGAACTAGATCAAACCTTAATCTAGGTAATTTTTCTTTATTTTTTTTTTATTTTTTAATATTTATTTATCTTTTTTTTTTTTTTTTTTTCTCTATGCCAGGAGTTAGAGAGATACAATGCATCTCTATCCTCCATTCATAGAGCAAAAAAAAAAACAAGGGGGGGCGGGCTATACAGTGACTGATCACTGTGACATCCAATCAGAGGCTATCACAGCAATCATGTGACCTGGAATTGGGAGTCTCGGGTCTCGATCGTTAGAACAGGACCTGGAGCCCTCAGTGACACCCTGGTCTTTGTGCTAGGAGCAGGCTGTGCGGCATGCTCCCAGCAGGAAGACAGGTACGCAAATATGCGGCCCCGCGTGTGACGTCAGCGTGAAGGGGTTAAGGACCCCTTGGCATTGTACTGTCTGGTGGCGAACAAACAGAAGTAGACAAAAAAGTGGTCTTCACAATCCATCATCATTTATTATTGCTAAAACTGAGACAACTGGAAGATGTAAGTGACCAATAAGGGGACTGGAGGACCTCTGTGATGAGGAATGACTCCAAGCAATAAACGTATTCTCCCTGAAGAAGAGGCATTTGAGAGGAGATATTATGGTGATATACAAATCCCTCAATGGTGATTCTAGCATAGGGAGGAAATTATTCAATATCGGAGAGCTTGAAATTGGAGGAGAACCATTTTAACCCTAAACTGTGTAGAGCATGGGTGTCAAGCTGGCGGCCCTCCAGCTGTTGCCAAACTACAAGTCCCATGAGGCATTGCAAGATTAACAGTTACAAGCATGGCTCCCAAAGGTAGAGGCATGATTGGACTTTTAGTTTCGCAACAGCTGGAGGGCTGCCACTTTGACACCCCTGGCATAGAAGGTTCTTTACTGTCAGAGCAGAAAGGTTATGAAACACTCTTTCACAATCGGTAATGTTGGCGGAAAGTGTCGACAGTTTAAAAAAGCTCTTAGATGGGCATCTTGGAGAACACAGTATACAGGGATATGGGAACTGTTATTGAAGCACATGTACACACCAACACAGGGTGAACTGGATGGACTGGTGTCTTTATTGAACCTTACCAACCATATAACCAATGCATTTCGGGACCAAACATACCCCCTTCATCAGGGGGAAATGGACGTGTTTTTGGGAAGCTTGTTTTGGGACAAACCCTACACAAACTTCACATCCATTTTGACCAGTAACGCTCTTTATTTTATACAAAACACTTTCAAGGAGCTTTATCATTTAAAATCCTAAAAAAAATGGGAGATTTTAATTTTTCATCCAAGTCCTGATGAAGGGGGTTGCTTGGCCCAAAAACTCATTGGCCACGTTATATATTTCTGTTGTCTCTATTTTATCAACAATAAATGATAATGCTTTGAAGGTATAAGTGCAGCGCTATAAACGCATGTAACATGAAAAACATATATCAATAAAGTGCAGAGAAGTTCGTCAAAGGTGCAGTCGTGTCCATCAATATGTCCAATCGCTGACAAATCATGTAGACTTCACCTCTGCAACATCTCCAAGATACGACTGTTCCTAACCCCGGAAACCACTAAGCAACTTATTCACTCCCTTATTATTTCACGCCTTGACTATTGTAACTCCCTCCTCACTGGCCTACCTCACCGCAGGCTATCCCCTCTTCAGTCTATCATGAATGCTGCTGCGAGACTCATCCACCTTACTAACCGTTCTGTATCTGCCACCCCTCTCTGCCAATCCCTCCACTGGTCTCCATTCAGTGTCCTCCATCCCTCCTGCCAATCCCACTGGTCTCCATTCAGTGTCCTCCACCCCTTTCTGCCAATCCCTCCACTGGTCTCCATTCAGTGTCCTCCATCCCTCTCTGCCAATCCCTTCACTGGTCTCCATTCAGTGTCCTCCACCCCTTTCTGCCAATCCCTCCACTGGTCTTCATTCAGTGTCCTCCACCCCCTCTCTGCCAATCCCTCCACTAGCCTCCATTCAGTGTCCTCCACCCCTCTCTACCAATCCCTCCACTGGCCTCCCACTCATGTCCTCCATCCCTCTCTGCCAATCCCTCCACTGGCCTCCACTCAGTGTCCTCCATCCCTCTCTTCCAATCCCTCCACTGGCTTCCAGTTGCCCAACAGATAAAATTCAAAACGCTAACACTGATGTACAAAGCCATTTTATAACTCTGCCCCCAATTACATCACACGATCTTGTCTCCAAATATCACCCAAACCATACTCTCCGCTCCTCACAAGACCTCCTACTCTCTAGCTCCCTTGTCTCCTCCCATGTTTGTCTCCAGGAGTTCTCCAGGGCTTCCCCCATCCTCTGGAACTCCCTACCCCAATCCATCAGACTATCACCTACTCTGCTCACCTTTAGGCGCACTCTAAAAACCTATATCTTCAGGGAAGCCTACCCCGCCCTCAGCTAATTGCCGATCTCCTCCACTCTTCCAACCACTCCATCCCCCACAGCTATTTCCTCCTGTACCACTATCCCCTCCCTCCTAGATTGTAAGCTCCAAGGAGCAGGGCCCTCAAACCCCTCGTGTATTGAATTGTATTGTTACTGTACTGTCTCTTGTACTGTCTCCCATTATAATGTAAAGCGCTGAGCAAACTGTCGGCGCTATATAAATCCTGTATAATAATAATAATCAATATGCATCCGTGACAATACTATATGTCAGGGGTGGGCAACTGTGACCCTCCAGCTGTTGTAGAACTACAAGTCCCATGAGGCATTTCAAAACTGACAGTTACAAGCATGACTCCCAAAGGCAGAGGAATGATGGGACTTGTAGTTCACCAACAGCTGGAGGGCCATAGTTGCCCACCCCTGCTCTATGTAATTCAACAGGCAGTAAACACTGCTAATGTCCTTTATGGAAGAGTAATTATTCCAAGTGCAAAGATGCTATAATTCATAAAGAGAGGATGTGCAGAAATTCATGAAAGGAATCCACCACTGGGGACGGATGTACACTCACCAGACAGAAAATAATAATGCTCATTTGTTAATATCACACATCTGGGGGTAGTGGTCTACTGACAGCTCCGGATCTTTAATCCTGCGGCTCCATCCATCCATCCATTGGGGCAGGTCTTTGTGATCCAAGATGGCCGCCGCTCCTCAGTAGGAGCGGCGTGACGTCAGCAATGAGGCTCCACCAAACGTGTTTCGTGCAATAGCACATCTTCAGGGGTACGCCCAGTAAATGATAATGGACTCTTAAGACAACCATCCGGTTCACTTTTTTGCCTATTTTCTTTGGATTTGTTAGTGGAGGCCACAGCCTATTTTTTTTTTGGGGGGAGGGGGGGGCACATTGTGGTAGAGCTGCAAAGGTTACAGATTTTTTTAGGACTAAGCACCAAAATTGGCCAAGGCTTACCTTTGGATATTGAAAATAATTTCCTGAGTGTGCCAGGAGCCCTCAAACCCTCAAACCTGGAAGCAGAGCTCCGCCTCACCCTCCCCGCGGCATCCCATCATGCAATATGCACAGCTTGGCAGCCAATAGAACGGAATGAGTTTAAAGTGCAGCAGCCCATAACAGACAATTATATTGCACTCTGCTGTGAGAAGATCCGTGAAAAGTGGATTTTGACTTGATAGAGTAGCTGTAGCACCACCCAAATCATTTCTTTTTTTTTTTTCTTTCCTGAAGACAATGACCAGCAGAGGCGGGAGAGACTGAAAACGGTGGTGACCCGCATAGAGCGCGACTCTTCATCTTCCAGAGCCTCATCATCGCGCCCCAACTCTCGGGAGAGCTTGGACTCCGCCTTACAGCAAAAGGTGAGATTTTGGTCAACAATGTTTTACATTATAAATGGATGTTTTCTTTTAATTATTTATTTAAAAAAATCTTTACTTCATTTCGCTAATCAGCAGTTGCAGTGAAAATGTATTACATTTTATTTATTTTTATTTTTTAAAATTCTGCTGCTCGGCACTTAACAGTAGGGTCAGGGGCGTCCCTAGGCAGGTGCGGGGGGTGCACACCGCACCGGGTGACACCGGACCCGCTCCACAAAAAGGTTAGTTGTAAAGCAAGCCAACGATCCCCACAGGATGAATTGGATCTGCGGATCGAGCATAATGGATCAGAGTCCGATCCATTATGCTCCCCAATCCGCAGATCCGATGCATCCTGTGGGGATCGCCGGCTTGTTTTACAAGTTACCTCTTCGTGGAGCGGGTCCGGTGTCACCCCATATAGGTTGCATGCCAATGATCCCCACAAGATGGATCGGATCTGCGGATTGGGGAGCATAATGGATCGGACTCTGATCCATTATGCTGAATCCGCAGATCCGATCCATTCTGTGGGGATTGTCAGAGGGGGTGTCACCAAGTGACACCAACCCAAGGGACGCCCCTGAGTGGGGTGCTTTTGCTACCCTATTCACCTACAAGCCACTGTTGTCACCTGCAATACTTCCTCTCCACCCCTAGATGTCCTCAGCCTTTCAGGTTGAATGACAGGTGATCTTGTTGTAGCGGTCTGACACACCCCCTGTTGAGCCAATCAGCAAAGTGTATGCTTCCTGCTCATTGGAGAGCTCTAGCTCTGATTTGAGATGGGGGCGTGGTCAGGCCGCTGCAGAGGGACTCATACAAAGCACAGTGCAGTCCCAGCCACAACAAGTTGTAGAGCAACAAAGGATTATTTCAGCGTCCTAAACTTGTAAGCCTGTACAGTTGGAATATTTTCAGAACTTTTTTTCATGGATGGTACAATTAAATATTAAATTCCACTGCACCCTAAAAAATCACCAAAGAACTTAGAATAAAAATTCACCAAAGGTGAATTTAGAATTATCCTTCATTGATTTCAATTAATCTTTCCAAATGGTGAACATTTGCTGAAATGAGCAGATTGTCTCCAAAATGTCAAAATCCTTTTGCTTATCGCTAGTTGAGAACCAAGGTCCTGTTCTGGAAGGCTAACAAATGGGCACAAATTCTCACAAACACCCTCCAAAATTTTAAAAAAGCCTTCCCAGAAGAGTGCGGCTGGTATAGAGGAAATATGGGTGGGGTGGGGCAACTCCACATATATAACCAAGAAATCACTGCGCTAAGGTGAAATCAAATTTAAAAAAAGCTGTCAGCACCAATGTTTGTGATACCAAACACACGGAACAGAAAAAAAACAAAAAAACCGCACTCTAAATTAAAATAAAAGTGATATAAAAACTTAGCAACCCAATATATCTGTGTAAAAAATTCAAATATGTCAACCATGTGCTAGAATAATATATTATTAAACACATGTACATGACCTCAAAATAATGTATTATGTGTGAGTTACAAATACATTGATCAATTATTGAATATGAAAGGAAGACTTTGTAATCCGAGTCTAGCACCAAGTCGATGACACTCCTGGGATATTGATCTGGTCAGGTAAGTCACAGAGGGGGTTGTTAATCAGTTTCAGCTGCTTTGGGGTTAATGAAATCAACAGCAGGTGCACTAGATGGGCAACAATGAGACAACCCCCAAAACAGGAAAGGTTTACAGGTGGAGGCCACTGACATTTTTTTCTCTACTCATCTTTTCTGACTGTTTTTTACTAGTTTTGCATTTGGCTAGGGTCAGTGTCACTGCTGGTAGCATGAGGTGATACCTGGACCCTACAGAGGTTGCACAGGCAGTCCAACTCCTCCAGGATGGTACATCAATACGTGCCATTGCCAGAAGGTTTGCTGTGTCTGCCAGCACAGTCTCAAGAGCATGGAGGAGATTCCAGGAGACAGGCAGTTACTCTAGGAGAGCTGAACAGGGCCATAGGAGGTCCTTATCCCGTCAGCAGGACCGGTATCTGCTCCTTTGTGCAAGGAGGAACATGATGAGCCCTGCCAGAGCCCTACAAAATGACCTCCAGCAGGCCACTGGTGTGAATGTCTCTGACCAAACAATCAGAAACAGACTTCATGAGGGTGGCCTGAGGGCCCGACATCCTCTAGTGGGCTCTGTGCTCACTGCCCGGCACCATAGAGCTGGATTGGCATTTGCCATTGAACCCCAGAATTGGCAGGTCTACCACTGGCACCCTGTGCTTTTCACAGATGAGAGCAGGTTCACCCTGAGCACATGTGACAGATGTGAAAGGGTCTGGAGAAGCCGTGGAGAACGTTCTGCTGCCTGTAACATGGTTCAGCATGACCGTTTTGGTGGTGGATCAGTGATGGTCTGGGGAGGCATATCCATGGAGGGACACACAGACCTCTACAGGCTAGACAATGGCACCCTGACTGCCATTAGGTATTGGGATGGAATCCTTGGACCCATTGTCAGACCCTACGCTGGTGCAGTGGGTCCTGGGTTTCTCCTGGTGCAGTGGGTCTTGGGTTTCTCCTGGTGCAGTGGGTCCTGGGTTTCTCCTGGTGCAGTGGGTCCTGGGTTTCTACTGGTGCAGTGGGTCCTGGGTTCCTCCTGGTTCAGTGGGTCCTGGGTTCCTCCTGGTTCAGTGGGTCCTGGGTTCCTCCTGGTGCAGTGGGTCCTGGGTTCCTCCTGGTACAGTGGGTCCTGGGTTTCTCCTGGTGCACGACAATGCCCGGCCTCATGTGGGGAGAGTATGCAGGCAGTTCCTGGAGGATGAAGGAATTGATACTATTGAATGGCCCCCATGCTCTCCTGACCTAAATCCAATAAAACACCTCTGGGATGTCATGTTTCAGTCCATCCAAAGCCGCCAGGTTACACCTCAGACTGTCCAGGAGCTCAGTGATGTCCTGGTCCAGATCTGGGAGGAAATCCCCCAGGACACCATCCATCGTCTCATTAGGAGCCTCCCCCGACGTTGTCAGGCATGCATACAAGCACGTGGGGGCCATACAAACTACTGAGGACCATTCTGAGTTGCTGCAATGACATTTCAGCACAATGGACTCACCTGCTGCATCATTTTTTCACTTTGCTGTTCAGGGTGTCTTTGAATTCAGTCCTCTGTAGGTCGATCATTTTCATTTCCATCAAACGATGGGGCGTCCTTACCTTCCTAACACATTACCCCCCGTCCATGTCAGTATAGATTTCCAGCAGGAGATTTGTCCCCATTGAGATCTGCTGGGTTTTCAAAGTCTTCCTTTCATTTTTTTGTGCAGTGTATTAACCCCCCTGGCAGTATTCCCGGGTGTAGCTCGGGGTAAAGTTTCAGTACTAGAAGCGGTAACCCCCCCCCCCCCCCCCCAGCTACACTTGGGAATACACTGCAGCATTGCTCTGGGATCCCTCCAGCACTTACCTTCTCCTGCGCTCCCGCGATGTCCCACCTGTAGCGTCCCCAGCCATGTCCTCCAGTCGATGCCGGCATCCGTCTTCCGTGTTCCGTTCCCTGCGAGCGTTGGAACTGGAGGGAATTTCAAAAATTTTAAAATTTGATATTCACTAAATACACTAAAATCACATAGTATAACATTCCTGTATCAAACCATTTCACATACATTCTCGAGTGCTTTGTCCGGCGCCCTGCCTGCATTTTTACTGTTCTTTCTGCCTGGAAACTGAGAAACGTCCATGGCGTCCAAAAAGCATCCCTTTAGGTCAAAATCGGTTTTAGACCGGCTAGAGAACAGCGATAGTAAATCAGAACCACTTGCAGAATTAAGTGATAATGATTCGTGGGGGAAATTCCTCATCAGACACTGAAAACGATTCTGCGACTTTGCTCAGTGATGTGCGAACTTGGCGCTCTATTTCACATTTCAGTGTTTTTGGTTTGATTATATTATTGAATTAAATTTATTATTATTACATTATTATTTTTTAGGAGTATTTATTATATTATAATTTATAATTTCATGTTTCAAATTATATCATCCCCGGGATGTTTACTAGACTCTTGTTCGGACAGATTTCAGTGAGTTATTCCTAAGAATTACAGGCCTACAATAAAAAAAAAAACAACATATTTCCATTGAAAACGATGTACCGCTTTGAGCACAGAAATACTGACATAATCAGACCGCTAGGGAGGTTAAAGCCATGTAAGGTAAGTATTACACTGCTGGAAGGGTAGATTTTGCCTAATTCTTGGAGTTCAGTTTTAAACTTTGTCATCTGTGAACTTAGCAAAGCTCTTTCCTTTCGCCTTTGGAGTTACAAATATCATTGGAATATTCTCCTCGGTGATATATTGGATCTGCGATGAGTAAGTTATTTTTATCGGATGCATTACGCCTTTCACCAGTTCAATATGCTGCTGGAGAGCGAGTAATGCCGTAAGCTTGAAGCCTCTTCAATTTTTTTTATGGCGGTGCCATGAAAATGTATTCGGTAATAGATGATCATGTTGGAGGGTGAAGGGGAAGGAGGAGGATTGACTGAGGTTTGACGGCTGCGGGGTTTAAATGGATCACCTGTAATATGGAGGCCATTTGACTTTTGTGATGATTTCATCGGCGTCTGGCGGCCGAGGATCTGGTTGTGAAAGCGGCAGTAACGCGGCGATGCATCCTGGTCAGAACATCGTATAACCGCACTTTTGTTCATTCAGAAACGTTTCAATAGTAGTCATTGGGGGGCATGATGTTGCTGATGTTTGATATTCCTTCACCATGATTGCAAAGCATGATTTCCAGGAAAATTGTCTAAAATATTCAAACTCCAATTCAGATCCAATACTAACTTTGGCAATGGGGAATAGTATAGGACTTATTAACCCGCACAGGCAGGAAAAAAATGGAGTTGCCTGTTAAGTGTCGTATGTGAGGTCCTGGTGAGGCTGATTGTTATAATAACCACTTCCAGTCCGGACACTTTCACCCCCCTTCCAGTCCGGACACTTT